GAGGTTCTGAGAGGAATAGGGAATTTCTGCCTTCTAATCCATGCTCTGTGTTGTTCCTTTAGTGCTTCCCCACTTGAATGAATGAATTCCTCAGCTCCTGGGGAAAAAAAAAAAAGAAAAAAAAGAAACCCCAGCCCACCCCTTCCCCCCCAAAAAAAAAACCCCAAACCACAGTGAGAAAGGAAATGCTGACCTTCTGGGGAAATGCAGAAGGCAGTTCAAGTCCTAAGTGGGTTTGGAATAGTCTTTCTTTTATTCTGCAAATGAAACCAAATCCTTTTTGTTCCTTTTTTATTTCTTCTATATCAAGGGTGGAAGGAATTGAGATATGATTGTAAATTAAAAGAGAGTGGTGCAAGGCATGGTGCAAATAGAAGCCTAAATGAAATAATAACTATCAAAAGACTTTCCCTAAACATAGTTCTCCACCAGCCTGTTGAAAAACAAGCAGCTTCATGTTCAGGCTTTCTTCTGGACCTTCACCCCAAATACCTATGCAATGTCTCTGAGTATCTTGCCCAAGAAATGTATCTGAACATTTCTGGTTTAATCAAGAACTGTATTCTGCTGCCTAAACCTTGCAAGCCAATTTCTAGGAGGTTTCATTTTTCCATCTGTTGACATTACTTAGAGGTTTCTCCAGATGCTCTTGTGTTTTGAAGTCCTGCCTTGGCGTATTAGAAGGAACTCGGGGATTGACTTCTGCCTTTGCTGGAACAGACAATTTTGAAAATTCAGGGGAGTAGCTTGTACTTGTCCATCCTATCCTATCTGGATAAGGATTTTGTAAATGGTGAGACTGAGTGCTAGTCACTTGAACAGGTGTCTGCTGTTGCCAGTATAGCTTATAAGATAGCCACTGAATGAGACTATCAGCTCCTCTGTGTTATAAATATCTTACTGACCTGATAACACTGAAAAGAGCACATGTAGGAGAATAAGGAAGTATATTCTCCTGGTATAAATTTCAGCAAGAAGATTTAGGTTAGACATCAGGAAAAAAAGCTTTTTAATGGGAAGGATAGTTAAGCACCGGAATAGACTGCTTGTGGAGACCGTGGGCTCTCTGTCAGTATAAGGACAGGTTAGAGAAACATCTGCCACAAATGGCTGTTGCAAGCTTTAGACTCCCTTGGGAGGAAAGAAAAGCCTCTGTTAAGAATCAGTTTCAGTGAACTAATGTGATACACCTTGCATTAAAGATGTGCATTAACATACTGCAGAACTCTTTTATTCTGGCTGCATTATACCACGGTTAAGGCAATTTGCCAGCCTGCTGGAAGGCTTTCAGAAGGCTCCCGCTTGTTTTCCCCTTGCATAGGCAATCTCATCTTTTGTCTGCATGGGATAACTTATGTAGTTAGACAAACAAATAGCATATATGATTAACTTTTTGTTCCACAATAGCTCTTCCTTTCTTTCTTTGGAAATGTATCGGACTTCTACTTCCAACCTTGTAATCCAAAGTAGAATCTTATATTTAAGGTGAAAGTTAGCTGCTCCCCTTCCTCAACACCTCCAAATGCATCCCCCAACCAGTGTGACTTTACTTTCTCGATAAGATTGGATGCGGTACAGGTAGAACAAGGGGAAGTTGAGGTGAAATTCTATCTCTTAAGAGCTGTGTCCTGGCATAAAGGAACATACCTAGGGATTGGAGAATATGATTAGAAAGGAGGTTTCACAGATCCCTTGTATCCTTAATTTTACTGGTCCTGTGACCTTCCAGGGCTTCTAGTGGAAGTTTGGATGACTGGACCCTGATTGGAGAACACCCAATGTGTCTTGAAACTGCAGGGTAACCAATATGTAGGATGCCTGGGATGGTTTATTTTTTGTCTTTTTGCTGAGGCAAGCACTCAGCAAAACCTAAGTAATAACAGTTCATGGGCTGTTAATGTGAAATACCCTGAGACTTCAGAAATGCCTTGCTCTGCTCTACACAGCTTGGTAGGTTATATTCTTTAAGAGTAGGTATCATTACCTGGACAAATCTTTGGCATTTAATTCTGCTAACCTCTGTCCCTACAGTGAATTGCTTCTTCCCTCTCATGGCAGATTATCTAACATATAATGCACATTTATGGGTTTTTTTCCTCTTCTCTTGCATCGTTTCCATTCTCTGCACGTGTGGTGTTTCTTATTATCGGTCCTTGCCCACATGTTGCTTGAGCCCATCCTTCTTTAGCTACATAAATACACATTTGACCTTTGCATACATAAGCATGTAAAGAAGTCTACCCCCTTTTAATTCACAAAGCTTTACTGATTTTTCTTGTTTGTATCTGTACGTGTCTACAGGTATATGGCATGCCTGATTGTTCAGGTTAGCAATGAAATGTAATATTTGCATGTATTCTTGAGACATTCTATAGTTGATCTGAAAATTCAAGTCAGAACATTTCCTTACATCCTGTTTTTCCTCCTCTTTGGACAATCTAGAATTATTTTATTTGAATAATAAGGAAAGGACATGTACTACTGTATTTGCAGGTTAGGTGATTCAGTGCACAGAAGGCTGTGACAAGACTGTCATTGTTATCCTAATTTCATGATGTTGTCTATGTAGTACAACGCTGTGAAACGTGCCTGGCACACAGCCTTATAAACTCCCCTTTCTGTCCCAGAGAACTTCTGGGTAATTATGGGTTGGGTTTGCCTATCTGATCTAATTTATCACTTAGGGGGTTATATCATGCCTGTTACTGAGATATCTAAGTGCTGCTGAGATTCTGCAAGATGTCTCTTTCATCAGCCACTTATTTCTATGATAAGTTAATGTTCCTGAGCTGAAATCTGGGCTGTTCTGTGCAGCATCTTAATCGCTGGTCCCTACTGTGCCCTGTGTGTGCAGTTATTCTGCTTGTCTGGTAGCTTCACTGAACTGCTTTTGGGGATTTGAGCTCAGTTACTTGAGAGTTGAAGTAGCACTGCAGGAATCTGTCTCAGGTGATGATAAATTGACCTGCTTGGTGAATGAGTGGGAAGTCCAGGGCTGGGCAGACCCTGGGTGAGCATGTGAGTACATGCTCTTTATTTCCTTAGAAATTCACTGTCCACATCCAGGCTTAGATGTTAGCATAAGTTCAGATCATCTGCTGCCCTAGACAACTGCCTATCTTTTGTGGACATAAGGAGCCACCAGTTCATAAGGCGTGCAGTTTTCCAGCTTTAACCTGATGCTCAAAGTGTATTTAAAAATTAGAACAACTCCTGCCTGACCACTTAAGTGGGAGTTCTTACAACCCCCCTGCCTTGCGCTCACTGGGGTGCTTTGTTCATGCCGCGGGTAGGGATGGGGAAACTGCTGTCTCTGGGTGGTTTCTTCTGCCTTTCTTCTCCCTCCACAAGCCCCCAGAGTGAATTTTTCTTTCATGGCCAGATGAAGTGTTTGTTTGTTTGTTTTGAAGGTGACAAGTGTTTTATGTGAATTCTAGATGTTCTGAAATGCCAAACCCCAGCTGGGCTTTGAGTTTCACAGATTAACCGCTGACACCTAATGAGCTTTTAATAAGTGCTTCTCCCTCCCATCCTGTCATTTAAATAAATAAATGACTGAAATTTGGGGGTGGTGGGAGGGGTGTTGGATTGCAGTGGAATGAAGCTTTTCTGTTTACCCACCAAGCAGGTACATGGCAAAGAGCAGTCATGCAAGCTTCCCACACCCACTGCCTCTGCCATCAACATCAGCATGTCTCAGCCCTGGCCTGGAGGGTTTGCTTTGAGGATCCTGCAGGAAAGTTCCTTCTAAAGCCCAGTTAGCTTCTCAGCCAAGGCGCTAATTAGTATCAACTGTCATGGGGAGACAGGAAATTGAGAACAAAGATAAAACTTTGATAGTTGAAAGTATAGTTGATGTTCAAGTTTTTTCTTTTCCTGGAATTTTTAGCAAGAAATTGTCTACCATGGGCAGGGGGTGTGCTTACATGTATTATCTCTTTAAGGACTCTAGTGCCTTCAAAACAGCTCTCATTTGTAGCAGGAGGTATATGGCATCTGAGTCCCACCCCCTGTTTTGACTGTTGAAGATATGATCTCTATTCACTTAGGAAACAGAAAATAGAGAGTTCTAAAATTGCAATGGAAATTTATGGAGGTGATGAAAATTATAGAAAAATAGCAAGATTTCAAAAAATCATAGATGCTTTTTGGTTTTAATTTTCACATGTCAAAACCAAAACCAAAGAATTCCTTGTTTCCAGCTAGGGTATGTAAACAAGTCATTGTGAAAGGAAAAGAGCAGGTATTTCAGTAAGGCCTTAGCAGGGGATAGCAGGAACTACTGTTAACAAGCATCTCTGTCTGTGTTCTTCTCCTGTGAAGACACTTCTGAAAATGCAGACCATCTGCCTCTTCAGTTACGTGTCTCTTGGAAGAAATCAGTCCTGACTATGAATGGGCAGTCTTTTTCCAGAAAAAGGATTTATTTCTGGGCAAAATCAAGTTTGGCTAAATTGAATTTGTTTGATGAATTTCTCTGAAAACAAATGAGGACAAAATTTTGAGGAATTAAAAAATTCTGGTTTGACTTTTTCAAGTGAAATGGTTCAACTTCTATGTTTCAAAATGACATTTGTTTCAGCATTTGTATGTATCTCCTTTTTTTTTTTTAGAAGGCCCCCTCCCCCATATTTATTGTGACTAGTAGGCTCAAGTCAACCTTTCAGGAGACATCAAGCTCTGTTCCGATTGTTTGGCTGAGAAAATTGAAAGATGTCATGTCTTTTTGACTGTGGTTATAGTACTCCCATGGTTATCCGCTCACTCTCCCAGAGGGTAAGACAATCACAGAGATGAAACAGCCCAGACATCTTTCTCGTTCTCTACTTCCCTCTTGTTTGAACTCACTTACTCAGAGCCTTCTCCCCAGAAATGTCCTCATCATACAGGAGCCATGAACTTGGGTACTCCAGAGTGGTCCTCCAGTCCTGCAGTAGCTGTGATTGATGCCAAGGGATGGGACAACTAAAAGTTTAACTTCTGTGGTTTTGTCTCCACAGGTGGGAAAATGGAAGGAAAAAAAGTTGCAGATGAAGTATTATGTGTGGCCACGCTTTGAGCTGTATCCTGACTCTGAGGAACGTGAGGATGATCACCTGAGTATCGTGACCTTGGAAGAGGCACCATTTGTCATTGTGGAGAATGTGGACCCCCTAAGTGGCACCTGCATGAGGAACACGGTCCCTTGCCAAAAGCGCATAGTGACTGAGTATGCACCACTGGGTTTTTCTGCTCCTATTGGGCTCTCCCTTCTCAGCAGAATGTTGAGCGTCTGTTTGGCCAGTGCCATCATAACCTGATAATCCTTTTTAGAAAATCACCTTCATTTTCCCAGCCTATCCTGTGTCCATTCATGACTGGCCCCTTTGGGCTAATCACTGTAATGTGTCCCTTCGCCTTCCAGCACAGATAGCACAAGAGAAATTGTCCACATTATGCTGTGGGAAGGGGAATGCAAACTGACAACAGAAGGGAATTAAAGGAGTTTCTTCCAGTCTTTTAACACATTATTGTTGTCACGGTTTAGGAACAAAACTGACGAGGAGCCAGATTACATGAAGAAATGTTGCAAGGGGTTCTGCATTGACATCCTCAAGAAAATCTCAAAGTCTGTCAAGTTCACCTATGACCTCTACTTGGTGACTAATGGCAAGCATGGGAAAAAGATCAATGGGACGTGGAATGGAATGATTGGAGAGGTCAGCAGCAAAGGGGGGCCATGGTGGGATTTGTCCCTGGGCTGGATGACATGGGTCAGGTCTAGTCTGCCATCATTATTGGATCCCCTTCTGGGACAGGGACAGAGGTGACTCTAGAAATTATTATCCTGCATTCTTTCTCGGCAGTGGGTGAATTAATCTGCTCTGACACTCTGACCGTGATTACCTTTCCTGTTTGATGATTAATTATTATTCTCTATGGTCTCACAAATTTGGCCTATACAGTCTTCAAAAGAGGCTGATATCCATGCACCCTAAATTGTGCTTAGGTTGTATATAAGGGGCATAAGGAATGAAATAAGACTTTGCAGTGTTAGAGGGAGGAAAAAACAAGGACAGAAAAATGAGATAAGATGTCTTCTCCGTGGATGATGTGTTTATCCTAAGACCTCTGTGGATTTATTTTTTATACACATACCAGCTTTGAGGGGAAGATTAATGTCTATAGGTTTCCTGAAAGAAGAAGGTGTCCTGATGAAAGATTAGACAGCAAAGATGTTACAAATAATATAGGGAATGGGATTACAGGAGTAAAAGGATTGTGTTGAAAGGCAGGAAGATGAGAAGGGGCTTGACTGTGGTGGTTGAGAACTGCCTCGTGTCCGTGTGTGATCTTTTCCTTTCCTTCCTCCAGGTTGTCACCAAACGGGCCTATATGGCTGTGGGATCCCTCACCATTAATGAGGAGCGTTCAGAAGTGGTGGATTTCTCTGTGCCCTTCATTGAGACAGGAATCAGTGTCATGGTGTCACGTAGCAATGGAACTGTCTCACCTTCTGCCTTCTTAGGTATCAGTTAAATCTAAAATTAAAACTTAAAAAATTAGGTGAAGGTTGCTTGTGATTCTTAGCCTGAAAGCTCCTTTTTGGGAGTACCTGTGGGACAGGTATATAAAAATATACTGTGTTGTTTTAGTTCTAAATCCCAGGCTAGCAAAATCTGGGCAAATGCAAACAGGCACTGCATAAGAGTTCCAAGTCAAGGAATTTTTCAGCAATTGTGTGCCTAATCCCAGAAAAGAATGGGCTCACTCAGAGTTGTCACCTACGCTGCAGCACGTGGTTTCCCAGTGACTCAACTAATAGTATGTTCAAGGAGTGTAGGCCAGAAGAAAATTGATTCAAACCTTATAGCTGGTACGCCATAGCACTTAGTGATAACAATTAGCAATAAATTGTTGCACTTTGAGAGACATTATTTGCAAAGATGTTGTTAACTTGACCCTCCCTTGACAGAGCAACTAGTAGAAGTTAGAGATCTAATAGACCTTTTCAAGAACAGTTGAGCCATCAGTTCTGTGCTGATATTGGGTCTTCCAATAACGGCATTTCTAATGTCCTTCAGTGGTGGAGAGTGATCAGAGAATGGAGAAATGATACTGCATTTCCCCAAGACATTCATGTCTTCCTTGTATCTACTATTTGGCTTTAGAAAATGCTTTATGATGCAGCAATATGAGTTATATAATTACTGTCTGCTCTTTGCCAGAGTCCTGAGAACATTTACAAAGAGAAATAACTTTATACAGGTAATGAGATTTTCCCAAGCCTTTAAGTTGGAGTTTCATGACTACTCTCTCTGCAGGAGTTTTTGCCCTTAGCCAAGTCCACCAATATTGCTGGGCTACATAAAAGCAATGTTAAAGTTAACTCCAAAATTTTAAACTGCAATTTAACAGAGGTTACAATATTGGTTATACTCTGGAACAAAATTCTCTGTTTCTCTGATCTGGTTCAGTCCCATTTTTATCTGTTCCGTCGTGGAGAAGGAGAAAACCTGGCAGAGATCAAATACTTGCAGAACACGAATGCTAACATTTCTAGAATGAGCAAGCGTTCCCATTGCTACAGGAATGGAATCACTGAAAAAACTACTATCGTTATGGCTGAACCTTAGAAATTTGGAGATGCTTTTTGGCTCGATAGCATCTTGAAAGTTGGATGCTTGTCTGAAACTCTGCCAGTTCTGCTTGATTTTCCCCACTCTCTCCAGATGGTGCTGGAGGACTTCCTGGGAACAATCTTTTATCAATTCATTTTATTTTATCAATGCATGCCACAATGGCTGCATGTAGTTCCAGATGGAGCTATGTGTCACAAATGGAACAGCACGATGGAATGCAGTCATTACAGAGGCAGAAACTATAGTTCTCCCTGTTCAAGAAGTTTTTCAGAATCAGGTTGAAGGCTTTCTTTTAAGTTCTGTTTTCCCCCAACCCAGTTTGCCCCACATTGAGGTGCTCTGGAAAGCAAAGGAGGAGAGGTTGTTATTGGGTCTTTTACCATGGTTTTCTCTTCCTCTCCAGAGCCTTTCAGTGCTGATGTATGGGTGATGATGTTTGTGATGCTGCTTATCATCTCTGCGGTGGCCGTCTTCGTCTTTGAGTACTTCAGCCCTGTGGGCTATAATCGGTGCCTTGCTGATGGCAGAGGTAAGGGGAACCCTTTCTTGCTATAATTCCCTCTTGTTTTCAATCCCAGTTCCTTTGCAGGGTGTTTTTTGCCTTGAACATGATGCAGATCTAGCCCACTCTGAGCATTGAGTTCAGACTAAAGAGGGCAGGGATGGAGGCAGAAAACAGACTCTGAAGAGAGCAGATGTGTATAAAGGATAATTTGCTTGGCCCGAGAGACGGAGCTGTGTCGTCTTTTATGTCTAAAGCAAATACCAGCTCCAACTTGTTTCTCATTGAGGGAAAATGGGTCCTGATAGTCGGTGTTGGCAGGGTCCATGATGCTGCACTCCCTGAGACAATCATAGGGCTCAGCACTGTCAATCCATCCTTCAGTGCTACGACTCCCTGGAGAGCAAGCTACTCTGCCAGCCTCCTAGCACAGTGCTATGTCCTCCAGACTCCACATCTGTCACCTGGTCATGTCTCTCCCCTACTTGGCTCTCTGGCTTTCTAAGACCAACCGAGAAAATGGGAAGCTCATTTTCTTGGGAGCGGGTGAAGAATAACTTTGCAAGGGAACCAGGAAAGATGGGAACAACCGAGTGATCCATCTCTGTGGTTCTGATCTTCAGAGGGCAGCCAGATGACTTAAAGAGAGGATGGACAGACAGCCTAAGGGACAGCCTTTTTTTCCTTATTGAGATGAAGACAATTAGTAAGTTGAGTCTTCTGTCATCTGCATATCTTCACTCTGTGATAAATCAGCCCTCTGAACCTTTCTGGGTTTATTGGCCTGTTCAGAATACTGGCAGAGAGATAGTTACTGAAAAATGCAGTCATTTGCTCCCCAGTCTAGTGCTTTGAGTGAATTTATGCCATCAAATTGGAGAGAAATGAAAATAAAAAGTGTAATGAAAATGCAGGCAGAACCACATGCACGGGAAATTGGAGAAAAGCGGAGAATGTGTCTCTTAACATGGAGCTGTGGAGGCCTTTATGGCAACTGATCATAGCCCCATGGATTTGTGGACACAAGTAAGTACTGATAAACCTGTGAGTCTTTTGAGAGATATTGATACACGTGAGGAACTAGAAGCAGTTCTTAGTACAGGTATGCAGTTGTGCAGTTATCAAGACTGCAGCTGAACTGCAGCCGTAATTATCAATATTTCTGAGCAATTATGAACAGTACGGCATGATCAGGCAGATATAATTCCTGACAGATGTGATGTGAAGATAGAGAAACCTCCTGCAGAGACTGCAATGCTGCTTTTGGTAATGAACACCCTGGCTAATGTTACTTTGGCTGCATTTGAACTATGGCAGTATGCCCCTGCCTCCCACACCTGCATTTTCTCTTTATGAGCATTAAGATTTTTCTCTCCAGGGTCAAGTGGACATGCCCTGGTCTAGTCGCTAAATAATGTTGTGCTGTTGTTTGGGCACTCAAAGTTGGAGAGCTCAGAAGGATTCTAGGTTCCTGGTTTGGATTGAAGTCTCCCATTACAGTCTTGGTTCGTGGCTGACAAAGTAACTGTGCAAGCACATGGTGTGATCACTGGAGAGAGGAAGGCTTTAAGAGGGAACTTCTCAAGGTTTCCTTACACCTTACACCACTCATGTTTTTCAGGTGTTTCACCTGGTACATTAGGTAGAAGGGATATAAACATACCACTCCAGCATGTAAAAAAGACAAGGACTTGCTAAACCATGTTTGTTGTAGGAACTTTACCTCATTGGTATCTAGAGGCACCGATTTTGCCAGGCGATGATTCTGCTCTGGTCTTGGTGTGCGGTTCCCTGGGTGCAAAATGAGCTCCCTGCATTGTTCAGTTGTACTTAGAGTAACATGTTGGTGCTTTCAGATGATCTGTGCTATTTGCTGCTCAGGGTTTTGGAGAAATGTGTCAAAACTTTCTTTCCTTTTGCTAATCTGCTGGAGCCAACCACAGGCAGCAGCACTAGGCTCCAATCAGCCTACCCAAGTTGATAAGCATGGGGTGCTGAGCAGGTTGGCAGGTGTTTGAACTGTACCAGAGGATTCTCATCCTAAGATCTTCCTGGTGTCTGAAGCAGAATCCTGGAGTAATTGCATCTGCATTCTCCCTATCAGCTTTTCTTGTGCTCAAGATGAGGAAATTATGGTTTAGGTTTCCACTAATGGAACCAGCATGCGCTGGGGATATGAGGCTGTTGGAAGACAGGTGTGATTTTACAAGTTTTCAGACCTAGTGCTTCATGAGCACACAAGGCTTCTTGTGTGGGGTATGAAAAGTGAGTGAGGGGAAGATAAGAGCTTTTATATCACTAGATCTGTTCCTGGACTATCTGGGGCAGAGCTGCAGATATTCCTGAGGCAGAGTATGTATCACTGTTATGTACCTTAGACACAGAACATGGGGAGAGGGAGCTGTGTTCTTCTCTGGTTTGTGTGTCTTTGGCAGAGTGGGTAATGAAACATTCTTGCAGAAGTATTTGTAGAGCCCTGCTATTTTAGATGGTGTTCTTCCTTGCACCTGTACAAGTACAGTGTACAGAGAGCCATGTTTTACACAGGTATATGCCGGGAGCTCAAGGACATCACCCTTGAGCAGCTAGAAATGAGGGTAGAATTTGTCTGAGCAAACTATTTCTGGTAACAACGCTTGAACCAAAATGAAATGTTTGGGCTTCTAGATACTTCAGTCAAATAAAAAAGAATGCCCTTGTGTAAGGTTTCAATGGAAATCTCTGAGACAGAATAATTATCTGAGGATGTTTTTGAAAAATAATTTTTCAGGATGTGCTTTGCTGAGATACGGTGTCATAAACGTAGGAGAGTTCAGATGCAGATATTTACCTCACAAGTGGGAATAGATACTGCTCTTAACTCTGAAGTCAAGATGTGTATGTGAATGGAAATGCAGTCCACTTACTCTCAGATTCTCACTGTGGGATCATGTTTCTCAATCATTTTAGAGCCAGGAGGTCCCTCTTTCACCATTGGCAAAGCTATCTGGTTGCTGTGGGGGCTGGTGTTCAACAACTCTGTGCCAGTACAGAATCCCAAGGGTACCACTAGCAAGATCATGGTGTCGGTGTGGGCCTTCTTCGCTGTCATCTTTCTGGCCAGCTACACTGCCAACCTGGCTGCCTTCATGATCCAAGAGGAATACGTGGACCAGGTGTCTGGCTTGAGCGACAAAAAGGTAATTGATCCACCCAAACCCTCAAAGCAGCCTTTTCTACAGAAGAGGCTGCTCCACTCTCTTTTCTTTGCTTTCACTATGAAGCTGTATAGGTGTTTTCATAGTCACATCATAGCTTTAGACCCTAATTTGAATAGCACAACTATTCTTCACTGGTATTCAGTTGCACTTTTACATATTTTAAGCACTTCAGGAATTAATTATAAACAGAACTGAACTGTGCTTGCTTGCACAATTCCAAACAGCACCTTGACTGTCAGCAAGTAATGAATTAATGGAGCTTTGGAGGTGATGTGTACAATGGGTATAACCTGTTTTTTCAGGCTGAAATAATTTGTCTGTGCAGGAATGCTAGCCATTAGGCTAGCAAATGTGATCTGCTAATTTATTCTGAGGAAAAGTTCTGCCCATGGGGGTAAATCAGCATGGCTTTGATGATTTACTATTGCTTGCACTTAAAGTTATAGTGTCTTTTTTTTCAAGGTGTTTGGAGGCTTAGCACAAGAAGTTGTTCCCTGTTCAGACCATTTCACTGCCTTGTTTATCTGCACCGCATTTTGTCCATGAAGACCATTTGCTTTTGCTGGACTCTGAACACTTGAGGATTTTGAGGAGATTGCTGATGCGTGCATGCAGGGTAGCACTGTCTGGTTCACGAGGGTGTAAAGCTTTGCACACTGCTTAATTTTTGTTTTGGGGTGAGGTTACTCACAAGGAATTCAGTGTTGTGAGGCTCAATTGCCCATGCTGAGTTTGTTACTCAGTCGCTGGGGCTGGCTAAGGGGTCGTGCTGTTGTAGGGCAGCCAAATAAGCTTGCATGCATTGTTATTGGGGCTAGCAGCAAGAAGAGGACCACAGGTGCAAGTTGCACTGCTGGACCGGTTATAGTTACTGACTCTCGTGTCCCTAATGACAGTCTAGAAATAAATTGTGGCCAGGCCCCTTGTGCATACAGTGTCCTGTGCAGCGGGCTAGAAATTCTGTGATGGATTAATTTTAAAGAGTTTTTCTTTCCCATTTGTTGTTTTTTCCTGGAATGAAACATGGCACAGAATAATACAATTTGTGCAGAAGTGCTTCTGTTATTTGTTTTAATTTTGACCTCAATTTGTTTCACACTGTCTTCACATTTGCACTGTGCTGTGTCGAGGGTGGGGTGGAGGGGAGGATGTTTTTCTGTCAGATGGAGATTGTTGCAGAGACTCCTTAAAAGCTGTGGGCTCCTTCAGACTGGAAGATACTGTTCAAAACCAGCCAGCCCTATCAGAGTTAACATTAGTTTGTCATCATTAGGTTTTCAACTGTCTGAGCTAAATGGGATAGTTTGTACCTGTGATCTATTGTTTCAGGCTGTGCCTAGGCTCATGGAGAGAGCCATGCTTTTATTCTCGTGTTTTTAAGATATTCTTCACACCTGCAGAGATATGTGTATGAAATTTCAATTGAAAGGGGTAACTCCTGGCGCTTCACAGAGCCTTTGGTTACAAGTTTCTGGGCCTGTCTTAGCTGATTTCACTGTAGGGTGACCTGTGTGTATGATATTGAGGTAATTTTCTTCTACTTTTCTTTGCCATGATACCTGTATTTTCTTTTGCTGTCCCAAGGTGTATGTGCTTTATTTCTTGGGGAAGAGAAAGGCCATAGTACATAGAGCATTGTGGTATGCCTCAAACAAAGCTGCTAGTGCAAGTACAATATTTGGGTTTACAATTATTTACAGTATTTACAATATTGGGATTACAATCTACCAGAGCATCTGAAATCAGATGAAAATTGTCTGGTGAAACTGGAGACCAACAGCTACCTTTGGAAAATAAAGACAGGTGAGACTAGCTCCATCCAAAAGATGTGAGTTAATGAGCTTGATCTACTCGTCTCATGGATTTCCATTCTTTGAACATGAAGAGGGCCCTGCAGAACTTGGGAGCAGTCATCCAGGCATTTATCCCTAATTTGGGAGGAATTTGCTTTTCTGAATCTCATATTTTTCCTTTCCCAAAACCTGCATAATTGCTTGCAGCTCACTCACCCTCTAAATACACTACTTAGCCAGGATGAAGGGTGCAGCCACACCAGGACACATGGAGGTGTGCTGTGCTCTACCTCCCTTTTCCTACCTGCTTAAAGCCATTTCAGACTTTCAAAGCCAGGGGGGAAAGACTATCTTTTCCAAGAGAAAAGACTGTTGCTTCCAATGTCTTTTATCTCCGATGTCTAATCTGATATCCACAACAGAACTGAGGCAGATCAGTCTCCTGGCCTTCTCCATCATCTGGTAAGGGCATCTGTGTCTAGCATAAGGAGTCAGCAGAGGATGTTATCCTAGCCGACAAGAAAAGGGATAGTTATTTTAAGGGATATTGTTTCTACTTGCCTAAACCCAGATCTGCTTGCAAATGTCTTTGTAGTATGACAGTACCTGGGGAAGGTGTCCCACTGGCACTGTAGAGCAGCCAAAATGCCAGATGCACTCATAAAATCCATTATTGTGCCTGGCTGGGGTACACCTGTCAAGGTCAGTCTGGCTGCACTCTGAGACAACTACCCTGAGGGTCTCCTTGGACCCTCTTCCTTGGGCCTTGCCTGGGAAAAGCCACTCTGAGAGGTGCCTGCAACTGCTGATGTGCCACTTCCTCAGAAAAACAGGCTGAAACAGTCCAGATGTCTCAGGACTTGGATGGTGTCTTGGCTATGCCCCAGCATTTACTTCCTAGTGACGGCCAAGACAATGACTAATGTCATGTGCCTGCTGTGCTGTGTGGACGCTTGAGCAGGTCTGTCTGAGCTGGGCTGGAGTGGGTGCCTCTGTGCCAGGGTACCATCTTAAACTAAGGGTGTCTGGAGACTCCCTGTGCTGAGCTTAGTGATTTCTGTCACTCTCTCTGTCCCAGGTGATGCTCACCCTGCTGAGTGCCACCCTTTAGGCCTATCTTGCTCAAAAGAGGTGCCATAACTTACCCAGGAACCCACCACATGATGATTCCACTGTGTTAATTCCACTATGTTAATCTCTGGAGAAAGAGTGCTGCTCCAACAGTCTCCCCTTTCCAAACTCCCTGTGATTGTGGCATGCTGAATCACTTTCCTTCTGCACAGGTGCCAAACCAGCACCCACTGCCTCCGCTGGTCCACCTTGTGCAACAGAGGGGATTGATGTGGCCCTGGCAGGGCAGTGCTACGCTGGCCATGTCAGCTCCCCATCCTGAGCTCTGCCCCTTGGTAGAACTGATAACAAGGATGCCAGAGCATCCTTGCACGCGCTGCTGAGCTGCATCCATCTAGAATCCATGTGGGGGGCTGCTACCACCCTGACCCCTTGCAAAGTCTCCGGTGGTAAGACAGCCTGTCGCAGAATACTGCAGTCGACTCCCGGGTCTGGATTTCATCTGACTGTAATCAGGAGATATAACCCCATTTCCATTAACAGGAGAGCTTCAGACACATTAGAGAAACAAGCGCCTGCGGTATTTCAGTCTAACGAAGGCAATAAATACAGGAAAGATTATATAAAATGAACTAATGTGTGAAGTAATCTAATAGCTATACGTAATTTCCATTCATATACAGTAGTAATAGAATAAAAGCAAATGTGGACAGCCAGTAGGGCATTTAAATAAAATAATTTAGAATGCAGTAGGTTAATAATAATAAAAAAATAGTATCCTTTCATATAAATTAGTTGCAAATGCCAAAGAAGCTAATAAAGTATCAAAATGGTAATTTTGTAATCGACATGAAAAGGAGAGAAATGGATTTCTGCATGCCTGCAAATGAATATAGATTGCTGAAATTTCACATGTATTTGACTTATTTGCTTTTTAAGATGTTAATGAAATGTCAAGACAAAGGGCTTGTTTCTGTTTGGCATAGGTCAGTTATTTTTTCAATAGATATGTGTTTGGTTTTGGGGTATTTTTTAATAAGTTTTGAAGTTAAAGCTGGCTAGCATTTTTAATGTAAAAAATCTGAGGAGAGCATAAGAAAGCAGAAGGAAATTCTGATATTTTCCAAAGTAGCTCATTTTAGTATACTTGAAACAAAATACTCTGATATTTCTGACATGTATTTTGACGTGTCATTTTCTAAAGGCACTACTCATAAAATTGACCTAGATTTAGAGAAAGTAGGAAAAAGAAAAAGGATTTTTTTTCTGTAACAAAGCAAAGAGTCAGAAGGAGATAACTGGAAGACAAAACGACACATGTAGTTCTGAGGTGAAAGAAACATTTCAGGATCATACAAAGCTAAAGTCTTATTGAAAAACCTGCAAACCACCCCCCGCCCTGATCTGCTCTATTCTGGCAGATGCTTGGCCGTGAAACTGAAAAATGAATTATTTCCCACATTGTGCTCTGCAGCACATTAAATCGACATTATACAAGGATCCCAGATATGCAGAACACTTAAGCATGTGCTTAACTTTGCGCTCATGAGTGGTGACATTAAAGTCAATGGACTATTATTCACATGATTGAAGTTAAATGCTTTTCTGAGCTTGCAGCTTTTGTACAACAAATACCTGTTCTGGAGAAGCCTAGGGAAATGCAGAGCAGATATCTGCAGCTATACGTTTTTCAAGAGGACTAAAAGTAGGGGTCAGTCTTGTACCTTGTAAGGTCTGTCATGGGAAGATTGTCTATCTGGATGGCTTGGAGGCAGTACAAATCTTCCATGGGATTCAACATTCACTATCAGGAGACATTTGTGGTAATTTCACACATTTTGGCAGGATATAAAGGAGTTTTTATGTGGTGGTGTCCAAAGGCAGAAAATATGCATTCCTTTCAACAGCAGTATGATTTTTATTCTCAGGACACCTTTGTGGTGATATGAGTTAGCTGGACAGAAGTAAGACTGTGCCACTGCCACTAGCTCTGACAGTCCGAACTTCTATGGTTTACAGTCTGATTATTTCTCTTTATCTCCTTGTAAATCATCAGTTGCTATAGTATGACGTATTTACTAATACTCCATAGAGTGGTTACATATTGTGTGCAAT